TGACACGCGACTACAATGTCTGTTCACAAGCCCGCCATCCAGCTTTATATACTAGTCAACTCAACGCTCCGCCCACAACTCTGACGTCACAATCCCAAGGGGGTTGGGTGTGCTATCACTTTTTGCCAATGTTGTTAGGAGCAAATGATGAGACGTGAGGGACGGTTCTCAGCGAAAACTTTTAGCTTTGGGGTCTTCGCTTTAGTCAACCTGTATCGACGTGCATAGCGGAAAAAAGGGGGAAGAGAGAGAGCAAGAGAAGGAGGGGCTACGAGGCCGGGGAAGACACAAGGGCACCGAGATATAATACTCCGGGGGCGGGGAATCCACCCACTCAGCCTTTCCCAGGCAGGACATGTTGAGGGGAGAAGCGGCCTCTCCCCACCCACACCTTCCCCTCCCCTGTCTTCCTGCATCTGTCTCCCCTCTTTCCCCTCACGCCAAGTATCACTCTTTAACTGAAGGGAAAAAGCAACGCGCTACACTATTCAGAATAACGGGGGAAATCGTTCTTTTCAGTGTGTGTTTGCGTTAATTCATCATCTTTCACTCTTTTTTCCTTCATTTATTTTCTCGTCTCTTCTCAAACGCGTGTAAGTTGTTCCTTCTTTTTATTTTTTATCACTCAATCTCAACAGTTGATGTTGATGTTGACTGTTTACGTTTTAAGGTCCTTTAGTGACCTGTATTCTTATTTTCTAAAGAAAAAACATGTAAATTAACAAACAAAATCGTGTTGGTTGATAATAGACGCATTTGTGGTTGCATGTTGAGAAAAATAGAGGCAGAGGCAGAGAAAGAGGGAAATAGAAAGAAAAAGGAAAAGAAAGGATGAAAAACAGAGAGAGGGGGGAGAGAAAGAGAGAGAGAGAGAAGGACAGAGAGAGGGAGGGGGGGAAAAGAGAGAGAGGGAGGGGGGGGGAGAAAGAGAGAGAGAGAGAGAGGCAGAGACCGAGCGAATTTGAAAGAAAAAAGGAAATAGAGATAGAGGCAGAGAAAGAGGGAAATCTAACAAAGAAAAAAGAAAAAAAAGGGAGACAGAGAGACAGACAGGCAGAAAAAGAAAAGAAGCGAGAGAGAAAGGGGGAAATAGAAAGAAAAATATAGGAACGAAGAGAGAGAAAGAAACAAAGAGAGAGAGTAAGAGAAGGAAAATACATTTTTTTTTTCTTTGAGTGAGAAGAGCGAGGCTGATCCAGATCCAGACCTCCTCCCCCCTCCCCCCCCGTAGGCCATCAGAGTAAAAGTGAAATGAAACAAAACTCGCACGGCAGGCGCTTGGAGAGGCAGGAGCAATAAGAAAAAAAATATATCTGTCGTCACGGATCGAAAAACATCAAATTTCCTCGTCCATTTTTTTGCTTAAATTCCTTTTATAAGAACACTTGTGACCGTATCTCCGGTCGACTGGCTCTTAGAGGTGGATTGGCGCGTAACAAGTAAATATAACATTTCTAGAGATGCGTGTTTATGTGTGTATATATATTTGTGTGTGTGTGTGTGTGTGTGTGCGTGTGTGTGTGTGTGTGTGTGTGTGTGTGTGTGTGTGTGTGTGTGTGTGTGTGTGTGTGTGTGTGCGTTTTTTTCTACCATACCCATCATACACACACACACACACACTTGGATTTGGATATTGATATTAATTTATCGGCGATAACCTGTTTGATGGCACGTCGGGCGCAATTTAAGCCTCCTAGGAGGGATACAGACGTACAGTGAATATTAAAAGTTCTGTTTTCATTTCATATATATTGAACGAACATCAACAGCTTTTAAGAGAGTGTAGATGTTTAAATGAATAATATTATTTTATGATAACATGGATTTTTTCCGAATGTCAAAATAGTGAAATGATATTAATCAATGTCGTTTGTGATATTAGCTTAACGTTTTGTTTTACATTTTGTTTTTATATCAGCATAAGTTATTATGTGTATGTGTGTTTGTGTATGTACACACACACACACACACACACACACACACACACACACACACACACACACACACACACACACACACACACACACACACACACACACACACACACACACGAACACACACGAACACACACGAACACACACACACACACACACACACACACACACACACACACACACACACACACACACACACACACACATATATATATATGTATATATGTGCGTGTGTGTGTTTTTTATACATATAAACCTCACACAGATCCACAAATACACATATTCCTTTCCGTGACATGTGCGCGTGTGCTGTGGACATATGTATATATCTACGTATGTTTTGTATATATAAACAGAGTGACGGAAATAGATAAATGTTCCCTCGTGTAATGCTATGCAAATCTGCATAAAAAATACTGCTGCAGAAATTAGATCTCACTCGCTCCTAAAGCTTAATCAGGTTCCTTGGAAAGCAGTGCGACATCCCCAGAACACGGATTAGCAGTCTGTGATAAAGATTTGGATAAAATAAATAAACCAATATAAACCCGGACGCGAAAAGAAAA